AAAATGTTAAAAAAAAAAAAAAAAAGAATACAGAGCTATTTAAAAATTAAAAAAAAAAAACACCACCAGTCTCCCTCTCTCTCTTCAACCCCATTTTATTCCATTCTCCAAAAGAAAATAGTTCAGAGTTGGTGTGTATATTTCAAAACATTGCCTAGCATCGATTTCATTGGGAAATTTTACACTAAATGAATTTGTACTAAACCTTTTTTTTTCAATAAGATGATACTTTTGCTATCATTATTATACACTTTTTCCCCCCAAAGGGCTGTGACGCAGCATACAGAAATAAAACATCCCAAATTTCTAAAACAATTCAAAGGAGGGAAAGAGGGAAGTGTCAAAACACTCAGTGCAAACAAACATACATACTGTTTTTAGTTATACTTCCCAAAAAGCAAGACAGAGGAGGAAACTGATGATCTGCATATCTCTTATTACTCTAAAAACATCATTCTTAAAGAACAAAGTTTTTATTAGTAATTTGAGAAATGTTCTCACATAGTAGTTCCATAATATAACAGTATCAGCCATCATAATTTCACAACAATTAGGAAACTTGAATTCACACTGTGGCAAAAATTCAAGCTTTACAAAACAGAGATCAGTAAATATGACACAACAAAAGGTTAAGATAACGTCAAGTATGATGGGTGTTTTCAAGTTCCAACAACCCACGGATAGAAATCAGAACCAGAGGAACAGGGTGCCTCCACACCAACCACACCACACCACATACCACATCCACCACACCACACCAACCACACACACCACATACCACACCACACACATCAACCACACACTGTACCATACTTAACCATATACCACACCACACCACATACTACACCACACACACCTACCACACCACAAATATGATTTCCTGTAATCAGGTTTAAACGAATACATTCAAAGCAATCAACAGATCAATATAATGTGAATGAAACCTGAGAGTGATACACGTAGCAGTCTACCCAACCTTTCATTTTTCAATATTTCTAAGAGTATCTTTATACACACAAACTGTACTAGGAAAAAATGCATAAAATATGCAGTGCTTGGTCACTTATTAAAGAGGATCTAAAATAGATCCCTACTTTTAGGGCAACTAGGTTTCTAATACATACATATCTGTATCTGACTGGGTGACTAAGCAAACACTGACTCGCAAAGTCACCCCTGCACTTGGCAATGATCCACTTAGCCTTCAGACCCTGGGAATGGGAGCAAGCACAGCAGGACCATCCAAGTGGAAGAGTGCCTGATGGAAGGTGTCTGAGAACTCTACTTGCTTCTGGAGCTAGCAAGTTGCTCACATACACAAACAACACCTCCCCACCCCGCCCCCAATCTGCCATCCAGTCAATGCTGACTCACAGCATGACCCCCTGTGGGTTTTCAGACCGTAACTGTTACAGGAGTGGAAAGCCCAGTCTTTCTCTGGCGGAGCTGCTGGTGGTTTCAAACTGCCCACCACACAGATCTCACACCAATGTGTAACCACTACACCACCAAAGAGGCTCCAAAAAATTTGTAGAAAAATTTCCTTATCTTTTAATTCCATTTTTCCAAGAACTTTTTAAACTCTCTTTATATGGGTTATACATAAACCAAATACACAAAAATCAGGAGGTAAACATATAAATTTAAAGCCATAGGTAAAAGTTAAAAATCTTACGGGATAAAAGATAAACTTTTCTAGTTAATTTAAAGAACTCTATTATCAATCTATAATTAAACTCTATTAATTATTCTTTAATCATTACTTCTATTCCTTGAAAGTATTATTTTAGGTTGATTACCTGATATATAATACATTCATTCACCTAAGAAAAACGAAAAAGCCCATAGCAACCCTATAGCACAGAGTAGAACTGCCCCAGGGATGGTTTCAAACTGCTGACTCTCAGGATTGCAGCCCAACACATAACCACTATGTCACCAGGGCACCTGCCTTCACCTAATACAAAAGGTTTATTTGTTTGTCTTTAAAAGGAAACAAAAAATAGGCAGGAAGCAAAGTAGTCCATTTCCTCATTTAGCACTACGTTTAGTAAACTAATTTTTATTCATATCTTCTTAAATAGCGTAATATGAGAAGGCTACAAAGAGCTTGTAGAAAAATGGAATTAAAAGACAATAGGATCTATCCAGAAACTTTTTGAATGAAGCCCTCTCATGTATCCTGCGACATATACCTCCTCTCCTTCCCTCCGAGGCCAGACAGCTCACTCAGTGCCAAGAAGTTTGGCACTTGAGACTATATTCTGACTCATCCAGACCCTACTGATCAGAGTAGAGCTGCCCCTCTGCGTTTCTGAGGCGATCAATCTTTACAGGAGCACTCGCTTTCTCCCTGAGCAGCTGAGGGGTTCAAATTGCTGCCTTTGTTGGTAGCAGCCCAATTTGTAACTCACTAAGTCACCAGGGCTCCTGCCAAACATTAATCTCATACAAAGCAGCATCATTTAATCAAGCTTAAACAACCACTTTTCTTTCTACTCATATTTCTCTTGATGCCGAGGATTTGGGGAAACAAGTGAAAGCAGTACAACGACACGAAGCATGTTGATTCGTCTCCAGAGACCATGTCTAGGAGAGTTCCTACAGGTTTGCCCCAGGTAAACTTAGCAGAACCACACAAATAAATTAACTGTTATAATATCTGATACAGAAATTTACCATAAGGCCAGTCATACATGTAAATCAACCAATCTCCCAAATCTCATCTTTTTCCTAATGAATAAAGTCAAGTATGCAGTATCCGTCTTGTATCTAGTCTGTATACTAAGAGGTAGAGGGGTGGGGGCGATAAGTTTCAAAATGAATAAAAATCACTTTAAAGTAGATGGAAATTATGAAATCATTTCTCACACCTCTTAGATAGCAACAAACATTCCAACGTTGTCTTGTGAAAACTGCCCTTGACTAGGAAGATTTTAAAAAGACAATTATAAGAAAAAGATAGCTCTTAAAACTCTAGGCAAAGATGACAAGTCAATTGCAAAGTATTTCGCTCTTTCACAGAACAATTCACACTCCGAGGCCTGCACTTCAAACTCAGAACAATCTGGGGTAGACAGGAAGACTCACCATCTGTATGGGTTTCTTGTGGAGATCTCGTTCCGTTACCAATTTTTCCTGGTCGGTGACATAAAGACCTTTCTGTGCTAACGCCTGGATGACAGCATCATGGCCCAAGAGGGGTTTTGCAGCATCACTCTTGAGAATAAGACTCCCAGCTCGACAGTACAGCTCCGCCGAAAGAAGCAGATTAACCACGGGTGGTTTGATGTGCTCCTGGTCATACTGATCTGTGTAAAACGGTTCACGAAGATCCTCTGGCACATTTTCTATAAAGATTAAAGGGGGAAATGTTCTCTTACAAGATTTTTATAAAAGAGGCATAATCAGTAAATGATTATTTATGTAGAATTTAAGATTCCCTCTAAAATTAACAATAATCCTGTAACTGAAAAGATCATTTATATGAATGACACTGAATAATGGCAGATAGCAAATGTAAAATAATGAATTTTCCTTATACTAGACACCCGTTCAGTGGAGACTGAGGAGAGTGGCTTACACATGGGCCGAGGGGAGAAGGAGCCCAAGTTCCCCCGCCAGGTCTCTTCGGTGCTAGCCACTTCCCTCGTCAATGCCAATCCCACTGCCCATGTCGATTTTCAAGCCCCTGTGCATCTGATGGCAGCGATTACTAAAACAGATAAACAGACAAAAATTCCTTACACTTTACAAGTTTTCTTGCCTTTCTGCCCTGACTTCCTTCCTTCCCCTCCCTATGCTCTTCATCAGTCAGGACAAGAATGAGGTCTGGCCCCCAAAAGAAAGGCCGGTATCTAAACTGGTGTGAACGTGGCACTGTGATCAATGAGAAAGTCTGAGAGCTCTGGAATTTGGCTACCCCTCCCCCTTGCCTGTCTGCTCTTGGACAGTATGGTTTCCCCACATCAGTCAGTCATCCCGTCACTAATTTTAGCACTCTCCTGAAAATATAAAAGTAAAAACACACCTCACCACCATGGAGTCAATTCTGACTCACAGTGTCTTTACAGGACAGAGCAAAGCTGCCCGTGGGTTTCCAAATCTAATTCTTTAGAGGAGCAGGAAGCCTCACCTTTCTTCAGAGGAGAATTTTTTTTTTCTTTTTAGCAATTTTTCATCTTAAAGTTTTTGAAAAGCTATTACTTAGAAAATCAGATCCATCAAACAATACAATAACTACTAAATTTCCATTTTAGTAAAACGTGTACGATCTTAAGAAAAACCAGGGTATGGTCAATTTTATATACTGGCATGGCTTTTGGGAATTCAGGAAATTAGAACTAATCCCTACCCTCAAGGAGCCAACAATCTACAAAAAGACTACACATGCAAACAGGTCAATTAAGCAATTCAGAAAGCCAGAGATAATACTAAGCAGCAAACTACTGCACATCAAATAAAAGTATATAATTCAGTACTCAAGAGCTCAGAGAAGAAAGCATCAGTGAGTGGGTTGACAAGATTAAATTGGACAGGAATAATTTATTTAGGAAAAACAGAAGCTTTCTAAACATGAAAAAAGGAATAAAGAAGATATTAATTCGGTGGAGAGGATGGTCTACATATGGGTGTAGCGAGATGCATGGCTGGAAGGGGTGGTGATAAGACTAGAAAGCACTATCTCTTTAAAACGCCAGCCCACTGATAGTTTTAAAGGAGAGTGGCACATGCAGAGTGGCATCTGGGACAGTTAATCTGGTGGTCCATATTGATAGCGACAAACATTAGAGACAAATTATTTTATGAAGTTGGAAGGCAGTAGTGGAAGCAGGAAGTGAAGGAAATGACAGGCTGCTAATCAGAAATAAGAAAAACCCAGCCAGGCATGCAGGAGATGGAAGCTTGGATACCCTGGAAACGGCAGCATCACTGACAGGAAAAGGACCAGAAAAAGTTTCACCAGTCCTGGTAGCAAGTTCATACCCTCCTTTTCATACATGTGGCATTTGAAATAATAGCAAAACTATCCAAGTGGAAATACAGTGAGAGATACAGGATTCTAGAAAGAGGTAGTAGATTAGGATTCTGGTGACATCTAAAAATATCATCTTCATTTAATAATTGAAAGCATTTGCCTTCCTTCAGAACTGCATTAAACAGTGGTGAGGAGCAAGTCTTAAACTTAAAATCCATGTGCCTCAGCTGCAGAATATAAATAAACTTC